ATTCCGGGCTACCCGAGGTCACACAGTGAGACAGAGTCCAACCCACATCTCCTGCTTCCTTGGGCCCACCTTCGCACCACACCTCTGTCCTCCAAGACCCCAAGTGTGTCTCCCGTCCCCTTCTGAGATGGAGCAGCGCTGCCTTCCCGGGTTTCCGCAGCTCCAGAGAGGGGCCCCGAGGCTGCCCTGACACCCGAGCTCCCGCAGGGCAGGTCCGCAGGGGACCACTTCCGCACACTGTCCCGAGCCCTGATCTGGCTTTGACGAGCCCTGGTCAGCCCTGACCTGACCCTCGTGTGGCTCCTCTGCTTCTAGCCTGAACCTCGTCTGCCCTTCTGCACGCCAGCCGCCCTGCAAACACCTGCCGATCCCCTAGAAAGGCCGGGTCCTAGATGGCCTGTGAGGAAGTGATGGGGCGGAGAAAGGGAGGGGGTGGTGCACCTTCCTGACCTGTTTGCGCTGGGGTGTCCACACGAGGGAAGGGGAGATGATCAACAAGATACCCCCGGATCCACAAACACGCCTGAAAAAGGGGCAGCCCGGGAATTACACTGAGACCCAGGAGGGAGTTCGCATGTGACCCAAGGAGGTGCCTTGGGGCACATCCCAGGGGAAAGTTCCTGCCTGCACGCCTGGATGAAGGAAAGGTGGGCACAGCCTGGTTCCCGGGACTGTTCCTCAGGAAGATGCTCCTCCGGGCTTTCGGAACGGCTGCCTCTCCCCAGAGTCGCCCCTGCCCCTCCTCCACCCCAGTCGGCCTCAGCCAGGCCTGGGCCCGGGAGGCCAGGAGGGCACATAGAGGCCCAGCCTGCTTACTGTTGGGGCTGTGGGCGGCGGCGTGGCTGGGGTTGCTAATGTCCCGGGGTCACACGTCATGACATGTCTCCCTCGGGATGGGTGGAAGGCAGGGCCCCAGGACACCGTCTGCTGGGCTCAGTGGGGGTGGGCGGGCGAAGGCCCAGGACTGGCTGCACCCCCTGCACAGCCTGGCTAATTTTATCGAGCTTAATCAAGAACAATCAGCAGAAGCTGAAGAGATGGGGGTGGGGATTTACATGATCCAATTCCTATTCTTAAATGTTAATTAGACGTCATTTTCCCTCCGCCTGCTCCGAGCCTGCGCTCTGCTTGCTGCCACTACGAGGCTGTCCCTCAGCACCCCTGCAGGGTGAGGCGGGTCCACTGGGGTAGGGCCGAGGCCCCCAGGACACAGCCGCAGACCCGACCCAAGGGCCTCCCTCTGCTTCATCCTCAGGTCCTGGAGCAAAGCCCTGAGACCCAGCCACACACAGGCCCACAGGAGGAGGGTCTCCTGGAGTCGGGAAGCCCCCTTCTGTCCCCCCACAGCCCCCAGGTCCCTCCTAGCTTTGTGCCCTTAGGCTGATAGTCGGACCTCTCTGAGCATCAGAACGTTTTCCCCGCTTGACGCGTAAGTGTTACATTGCTCAAGGTGAAGCTGGGAGCATCCGCTCATCTACAGGGAAGTTTGTTCTCTGCCCTAAAAACGCCGCGGGTGGTACCTGACCCCCATCGCAGGGGCACCGACTGGGCGGCGGAGCAGACAGGGTCCCGGCTTTGCCTTCAGCGGGTGAGGGGTTCACGGTGGAGGCACCAAAACATTCATTCCAAGTCCAGTTTCCTCATCTGTTAAGAAAGGGAGGATGGGAGTCCTTAAGGTACATTGCGCTAGAGTTCAGGACTGTTCGTGATAAGGACGTATTTGTCTTTACTGTATATTTGACTGGATGACCTATTCCCCATTCCAAGGCAACGTGAATAAAATTAAGCTAAATGGTTTTTTAAAAAGGGGGGTGAGATCATGGTGGGTCCCCTCCCAGGGTCCTCTGAAGACAGAAGAGAGGGTTACAAGCACCCAGTAGCCCTTCATTCTGGAAAGGGGGTGACCAAGCCCGTCTGTGAACCAGAAAGCCGGGGAGGTGCTTCACGGTCCTCTCCCTGAGCTGGTGTCCCAAGGGCCACGTCCCGGGCGTCACTCACCTGTTCTCACAGCAGCACCGCAAGGAGGGGACAAGGCTCCAGGGTCACCACCCGGGCCCCAGGCTTCTCCCTGTGGGTGGAGGAGGATGGACGTCAGCCGCCAGGTCCCCCATTATGAGCCACTGGTCCCACCCGTCAGATTCTGATTCCAAACTCGGAAGCCAACAGAAATCGTCACCGTTTTACTGGAGAGGAAACTAAATTTCAAAAGTTAAAATCGCCGGAACGTTGTACCACTACCACCTCCCTCTCCCCTGCACCAGTGCCGCGGCGCGCATCCCCGGTCCGGAGCCCCCGGGGCCTGGCGCTGCGGAAAAATGAAGAGAAGAGAGAAGGAGCTCGGGAGTGCCGTGGGCTTGTGAGGGAGAGGAGGGGAGGCTTGGAAATTCTGACTGCAAGTGATAAACTAAAAACACAAAACAAAACGAAAAGTAAAACCATAGGAATGTCAGAGGAGAATGCACGTTTTCCAACAGAAGCCAACGCAGCCCCTGCGGCTCCAAGGTGGGCGGGGCCTTGACCGCATGCTGGCTGGACGGGGCTTCCAGGGCAATCCCTGAGTTCCTGGCTCAGGAGAGGACTGGGTGGGGGGCACCCCCCTCGCATAACACCCTCGGCCATACCAGGGTCCAGGGCCCAGAGAGAAGGCAGCTGGGGGAGGGTCAGGTCCTCAGGCCTGAGCCGCGCTAGGACCAGCGAAGGTTCGAATACTGGGGCCAGAAACAAAAGCATCATCTCAGGGAGTTTGGCATCCCCTATGGAGCAGGTGCCCTGGTGGTCCCCGGGTCTGTGGGGACAGGCTCTGCCATCCTCGGTCCTCTCGGCCTGGCTGAGGGGTCTTCCCTAAATCCTGGCTGGGCTTCACTGTTCCCACCCAAATCCTCCACTCTGCTAATGTGACCCTCCCCTGGGAGCCACACGGATGTCTGCGGAGGAGCTGGGATGGTGCTGGAAGGCCCAGGCACGAATAGGAAATCCATCCCCTGCCTCTTGAGATGGGGGTGCGTGTGAACTCTGGATTACAGCCATGCAAGAGATTCCAACGCTCTCCAAATTCTTCCTTTCCCAAATATCCGCCTTTACATCCCACGGGGCGTGGGAGAGGCTTTCCCTGTGCCTGAAAACCCCCAAAAAATTAAATTTAAAACTCATTATGGCTAGGGGAAGGTTAATAAGAAAATCCTAAGCCACACTTAACCAGCTTAAGGCACTTTTTTGTGAACCTTTATTAAACTTGCATAAATTAAAATAGACTTTTCAAATAAACTTCACCCAGAAGTCTAGAAGGAACTGGTCTCTGGGACACGCAGCTCTCCCCATGCCGTGAAACCACAGGCCTGTATTTTCGGGGGACCAGAGCAGAGTGGGTGGAGGCACCCAACAGGGGCCCCCATGGGGTGCACTGAAAGTGGGCTGTGGCGGGGGGGCCTGTCAGGTGACGGCACCAGAACCCACCCTGATTATTTAAGACAGTAGCTGCCAAAGCACGTGAGTAGCCACAAACTCCGAGAGCCGGGTGGCTCTGCCGGGAGTACCCCCACCTTCCGCTGCCACGGGGCACAGAGACCTCAGCTCCCATCTCCATCGCTGGACACGGTGCTACCACCCACCTTCTGCCACTGCAGGCACCAAAGCACAAGGTCTCTCTGCCTCTCCTGAATCAAACTCATGAAGGTGTGTCCCACTGGCAGGTCCTAGATCACCTGACCAGGTCGTGGCAGTAGAGGAGGTCGAGAAAGCACGTTTCTGGAAAATAAAGAAGGGAATTCAGAAGGTGCTGGAGAGCCAGACAGCCTACTGATGTCCACTACACTGACCCTGCCAACTGAAACAAGAAGAGAATCTCCTCATCTCGCAGAAGCTGCACTGTCTTCAGGCATGGCTGGATCCAGGCTCCGGCAGTCCCTCGGCAGTTTCCCTGAGCTGTGCTTTCTCTGGGCTGTGCCAAGGTCTCTTAACCTCTCTTGCTTCTGCTGCTTCATCTGCAAAATGGGGATAAGAATGGGGTTCTCCTGAGGAACCAGCAGAATAATGCAAGGGCAGTACCTGGCCCAGAGTGGGCACTCGGTAACCATCGTTAGGGCTGCGCTGCTGTGAACACAACTGGAAATCCCCAGATATTTGTTCAAACTTTGTCTCCAGGTTTTGTGGCTCAAAAGCACACTGCACTGTGACAGAACGGCCACACGATTTGCATGGCCCAGTGCCAAATAAGAACGCAGGGCCCCCATTCACAAATTATGAAGAATTTCAAGACTGTGACAGCACAGCAGTAAACCGAGCTCGGGCCTCTTCTGAGCTGGGCCACAGCTGCACAGCAGTGACTCTCACCTGATGAGAGGTGCTCAGACTCCCATCACCACCTCGACACCAGCACCAACACGCCCCGCCAGGCACACAGTCTTTGCCTGCCCATAACTACTGCGGCCACGCGAACCCCACTCACCGATGGACGTGGTTTGCAGCCCTCACTGCTGCGGCAGGAAAGAAAGGGTTGAGGCTCTATGTTTGGTCATCTGCACATCTGCAGCTGCTGACCCCAGGCCTCAAGCCCGTGTCGGGGACCACCGGGATGGCAGGAGCCCAGAGATGGTTCAGCTCGGGAAGCCCTCTGCAGCTGCGTCCCCACTCCTGTTCGTTTCCCATTTTGTAAGCACATTTTTATAGTCTCTTCCAAGCCCCAGGTATTTGCATTGGTCCCCTGCTGCCTATGGGAAGGGCTTGAAGGGGATTTTAGGAGGGAGGCCTGGCGTGCGTGCACAGGCAGGGCTTAGTGTGGAGGTGGATACGTGAGATGAGCCTCGGGCCTTGCTGGGCCTCAGCTGGAGGAAGCAGAGCCCTCTCTAGACACCACTTTGTCGGCACGGACATGGGATGGGCCAACCTGTGGGAGTCACTGTGTCTGGGAGCAGCTGGAGGCAGAGGCCCCCCCCAGGGTCAGCAGAGAACCTCTCCAGGCTTCCACACGGTTTTGTAATGTTGTCTTTTCTTACACTTGGCAGTACGCAGGGGAAGTCCCCGAAAACCGGGTGGAGATGGTGGTCGCAAACCTCACTGTGATGGACCGAGATCAGCCCCACTCCCCGAACTGGAACGCTGTCTACCGCATCATCAGCGGGGATCCCTCGGGCCACTTCAGCGTCCGCACGGACCCCGTCACCAACGAGGGCATGGTCACCGTGGTGAAGGTGGGTGCTCACCTCGCCTCCTGCTGGGCTCCCCGAGCTCCGGCCCCGCCACGTGCCCTGAGGCAGACGTAACAGGAATGATATTCGGGTTCAGTGCGTGCCACCCCAGCATCCAAGGGCAAAGGACTGCGCCTGACCTGCCAGGGGCAGAGGCGGCCTCGGCAGGACCGGGCACGTGCCACCCACCCCCCAAAAGATAACTCTCCCGTCTCCTCCCTCGCACCTGGCCCTCAGCTTCTGAAGCTCAGAGGCCAAGAATCAGCCTCTTCTGCTTCCCGGCCGGGCGGCGACAAGGCTTGCCCAAGGCAGTGAGTGAGCGGTGCCCGAGGTGCCCGGAGGAGGGTCAGGGTGGCAGGACAGCAGGAGAAGAGGCCAGTTCGGGGGTCACGGTAGCCCCTGCAGCTCCCAGCAAGGCTCAGCGAAAGCACTTCACCCCAAGCCTCCGTGACGGGTCCCCCACGTGCACCGTTACGCCCCCAGCCCTGCCCCACGAGCCTGCACCCACGCTGGGCTGCTCCCCTCAGGGTGCAGACCCAGCCCCTGGGCTTTGAGCGAAGGGTCGTGGCCACGTGTGGGGGGAGGCAGCTGAGCAGAGGCCCAGTGAGGCTGTCTGGCCTCTGATTGAAACCGTTGGAGCAAATTACCCATTGATTTCTCTGTTACCAATGTGTTCTGTTTTGCCCTCCGTTGCCCTCCGGACTTCCGTTGGCCATAATCTTTCTGGAAGATGTCCTCACTCAGACTGGCGACACAGTTTTCATGTAGCGTTATTCCCCGTCCTCCAGGGACGCGAATGGATAAATATGGGAGAAGCACTCCTTCAGTGACTTCTTCACAGGCACAACCACCGTGATTTTATGAAACGGTATATTTAAGTGGAGTCGCCCCCATCCCCCGCCAACACTCAGGGGCCCCGGGGGAGGGGCTGGAGGCCTGGCAGCTGCTTAGTTCTTGGCGGCGGGGTGGGAGCGGGGGTGGTGGGGGACCTCAGCCATGAAGAGGCAAGTGCCAGGGAGGGACGTGGCTTCTCACTGGGGGCTCCAAGGGGTCTGCAGAGAACACCCCTTCCTTCAGCAGATGACGAGACCACGGCTGCAGAGGACGGGGGCTCCCGCAAGGTGAGCCATGGGGACAGTGGGGAGGACAACGAGAGTGTCGGCCCAGAACCCCGATCTCTGCTGCCACCCCCAGTGCCTGCCCATCCACCTTCGGGAGCCTCATCTCCTTCCCCTTTCCACGCCCACCCAGCACTGTTACTTACTTTATAGTAAACTCTTCTCGTGCTCAATACCTTACTTAGTAGCAGGAGCTGAGAAGGCATGGGTTTGATGCACCAGGTGTATGACGGTAAATACTCACAAAAATCAAGGCTGAGCTGCAGTGGGAGCCCAGCGATGGGGCAGGGCTGGGCCAGAGGAGCGGAGGCGCCTCCCGGCCAGGAGAGCAGCAGGCAGGGCAGCACGGCCCCGTCACCAGCACCCCCAGGGCTCACCAGACAACTGGTCCCACGAGGCGATCAGTTCCCCTCTGAGCAGAAATGTGTCACACTATTTATCACAAACGTTTCCAAGCACACCTAGAAGAGAGACGGGTGCACCCTCACCTGCCACTTCGGTTTCAGTTACTAGCGTGCTGCCATGTCGCTCCATCCGTGTTTTGCTGCAGTGTGGTTCTAACTCCAGGACCTCTGCTCACATAGCTACAAACGTTACGGCACCTGAGACAGCCAGCCACGCCTCCATGATCTCCAATATGAGTCTACAGTTTTTTGTTTTTTTTTTTTTGTGGTACACGGGCCTCTCACTGCTGTGGCCTCTCCCGTTGCGGCTCTGGACGCGCAGGCTCAGCGGCCATGGCTCATGGGCCCAGCCGCTCCGCGGCACATGGGATCTTCCCGGACCGGGGCACGAACCCGCGTCCCCTACATCGGCAGGCGGACTCTCAACCACTGTGCCACCAGGGAAGCCCTGAGTCTACATTTAATTGCCCTTAATTTTCCAAAGTGTCTCTTTGTGGCATGGTTTTTCAAATCTGGATCCAGACAGGGTCCCCACGTTGCATTCGGTTGTGCCATCTCTTGAATCTCTCATAATTTAGAACATTCCCCCCACCTCTGACCTGTCACAAACGCAGGGTCCGCGGTGCTGAATCTGACCGATCGTTTCCTCTCGG